GACAAGCTGCTGTGGTCGGTGCAGGTGGACCACCAGCTCTTCGCCCTCGAGAAACTGGACGTCACGGTGAGTGGGGGCCCTTGGGGGCCATTCTCCCTTCTCCGCCGACTGCGCCTTTACCGCAAGGCTCCCTAGACAGGCCTGGCCCCCGAGCTCCGCTCACTCCACGGGCTCAGCGCTGTTCTCTGTGCCGCTGGGGAAGCTCCCATTTCAGCAGAGCCGATGGCTCCAAAGAGAAGCACCTTGTTCTTAGGGTCCAGAACTGAGTTGCTCGCCCATCTGCAGATGTCCGCACATGAGTGTGTGTTCACCAGAGCTGTGGCCCCTGGGTCGGCAGGTGGGGCTGCGCTGATGCGGCCGTTGTGCCTGCTTGAGGGTCTAGGAGAAGAGGCGTGAGGCTCTGAGGTCAGGTCAGGACAGGCCCGGCTCTGAGTTCCAGTTCTGCCACCTCCCGGCCGGGTGGCCTTGGTTGAGTGAGCTTGTCTCTGTAAGCTGGCGCTTCCTCAATATAAAATGGGAGTGACGTCACTTCCTCAATATAAAATGGGAGTGGCATCGCCTCTACTACTTAGGGTTGTCGCGAGCACTTTCGGGGGGGCGGCTCATTCAGCAGCCCCCTCTGGTGCCAGGTGCCGGGACATGTTCGGTGAGAAACGCAGGGGGTTTGCCTTCCCAGCTGTTTGTCACCCGGAGCCGAGTCCACAGCTCCCGTAATTTCATCCACCCGGTCAGGAAGCCTTTCTAAAACAGCTCCTGGGGACTTCCCTGGTGGCGCAGTGGTTAGAAATCCGCCTGCCAAAGCCGGGGACACAGGTTCGAGCCCTGGTCTGGGAAGATCCCATGTGCCGTGGAGCAGCTAAGCCCATGCGCCACAGCTACTGAGCCTGCGCTCTAGAGCCCGCGAGCCACAGCTACTTAAGCCCGCGCGCCTAGAGCCTGTGCTCCACAATAAGAGAAGCCACCGCAATGAGAAGCCCGCGCGCCGCAATGAAGAGTAGCCCCCGCTGGCCGCAACTAGAGAGAAAGCACGCGCGCAGCAACAAAAACACAACGCAGCGAAAAATAAATAAATTGAAAAAATAAAAATAAAATAAAACGGCTCCTGGCCACCCCTGCATCCCTGTCTCTGGCCTTTTTCAGGGCAACGGGCACGAGGAGGTGGTCGCCTGTGCCTGGGATGGACAGACGTACATCATTGATCACAACCGCACCGTCGTGCGCTTCCAGGTGGACGAGAACGTCCGTGCCTTCTGTGCAGGTGGGACCCTGCCCTGCGCCCCTTGCTAAGCACACCTGTCCCCCTTGCTTCCACTCTCACTGCGGCCCCTGACACAAGTCTTCGTAAACAAACGAGTTCTTCAGCTCTTCGGTTAGAGGGTGTGAGTGGGCACCAGATTGCCATCTTTACAGTTTTAACTAAGAGGAGATAAAAGACAGTGAGGTGTCTATCTTTGGATATTTTAAAGAATCAGATATGCGGGGCGGGTTGTTCAGAAAAAGAGTCGGATGAGTTCTTGTCTGCCTGCTGTGTGGAGATATGGGAAAGTTCCTCCCCATCTGAACATGTCAGGACTCTGAAGACTGTTCTCCAAGTTCCATTCTCTTAGTTCCAAATCGGGGACCTTGGGAAGCAGCGTTAACTCCTTTGGGGGTGTCTCTGGTCACTAAAATGGTAACACTTGAACGACGCGCTGGTGCCACATTGCAGTGACCTGGGAAGAGGGATCACCACCCAGGAGAAGCCGCCCCGCGTTACCCTGGGGCTGTCACTGAGATGGGAAACCAGCACGTGTCACCTCCTAGGACACTGTCCTGCCTGGGCTTTGTTACTGTGGTTCTCCGTATCTGGAATGGGCCAGATATTTTACGTTTTACCTGCTTTACTGAGTTCCCAGCAAGGAAGAAATAGAAAGAGGGCCTTTAGTTTTCTGCTTGGCGTCCACGGGTGGGTAGAAACTGCTGACACGAATGCCGCCCGCGCCGGGCATAAACCTCCCCGACCTTTTTCTCCTACCCCCGCCACCCCTCCCCCAGGCCTCTACGCCTGCAAAGGGGGCTGCAACAGCCCCTGCCTCGTGTACGTCACCTTCAATCAGAAGATCTACGTGTACTGGGAGGTGCAGCTGGAGCGGATGGAGTCCACCAACCTGCTCAAAGTGCTAGAGGCTGAGCCGGAGTTCTGCGGCCTGCTGCGGGAGCTGGGGGTGGGTGAGTCCTGGGGGCGGGGCTGCTGCGGGAGTTGGGGTGGGGAGTCCTGGGGGCGGGGCTGCTGCGGGAGCTGGGGTGGGGGAGTCCTGGGGGCGGGGCTGCTGCGGGAGGCCAGGTCCCAGCAGACCCCCCAGCCCCTCTTGCCCGCAGACCCTGACGACCTCCCCGCCGCCCGGGCCCTGCTTCACCAAACCCTCTACCATCCCGATGGGCCACCACAGCGTGCCTCCCCAGGCCTCCGTGATGCCTCCTAGCTGGACCGCCGTCTTGGCTAAACGGGACCCTTCCGAACGTCCCCACCCCGCAAGCTGTCCACGGTGTTTGCAGGACAGGGAGCGCACATTATAGAGGACGGATGGCGGCAACCCTAGGGGGACTGGGAACTGTAGACCTCATGGTCTTTCTGGTGAAGGAGGAGACGAGTTGCTCCTCTGCCCCTTTCCTCGTGTGCCTGGCCCATCACACCGGTAGGCACTGCCCCCTCCCCAGAGCTCCCCACTCTTGTTGTGTGGGAAACAGACTTGTTTGTGAGGAGGGACTACAGATCTCTCGCTGCTCCCCAGCCAGACTTTGGGGCCAGTGGCGCAATGGCAGTGAGGACCCACCCCCAAGTTCCACCTTTTGTGGCACGGCTCCAGGTCACTGATGTCAGTGATTGTTACACGAATGGCGAACCACAGATCTTTGACTTATGATGGGTTTCACCCTCATAAATCCATCGTAAGTTGAAAATATTGTAAACTGAAAATGCATTTCCCACACCTCACCTACTGAACGTCACAGCCTAGCCTACCCTGTGATAAATGTGCTCAGAACACTTACATCAGCCTCTAGCTGGGCAAGGTCACCTAACGCGAAGCCTGCTTTATAGTAAAGCGGGGGATATCTCACGTAATAAACTGAACACTGCACTGGAAGTGAGAAACAGGATGGTTGTCAGTGTATTGGTTGTTCACCCTCATGATGTTAAAGTCTGATGCGGGTTTACAGTCCAGGCGGGCCACGATCAGAACGATACCCTGGGCCACTTATATCCCTTCTTCTCTTGCTTCCTGTGCTCTGAATCAGTGGTCTTCGAATTGTAGGTTGCAATCCTTTGTTGGGTTGTGGTCGGCAATTTTTTTAAATAAATGAGATAGAGTAGACTAAGTAGGACAAAAAATATGGGAGTATGTCGCTCACGTGTAGGGAAGGGTTGTTTTGTTATACTTGTGTGTGTCCGTGCACGTGTGTGTAGTGAGTGCAACGTAGAATACACTTCCTGCTGAGTTGTGTTCAGAGGAGTTGGAAAGCCACTGCTGTCAGTTATAGTGACCCCAGCCAGAGGGGTCAGCCCGAGGGAATGTCCCCCTTCACATTTCCTTCTGTAAGGGAACAAGGGCAGAGTGATCATTCAGTGTCTGAGAAGCAGAGGAGGACACTCGCTAGGACAAACAGGTGTTTATTCAAATGGAGAAGCCACTGAGCTGAGGGCCTCCTTGGGCCTGGGTCTGCAATTGCAGAAGCAAAGGAGGCAGAAGGGAGGGGGGACAGGGAGAGGCCCGGGAGAGCAGGGGTCGAGGAGCAGGGCCAGAGGGGCCAGCGCACTCTCACACCTGTGCCAGTGAGCCCCTCTCCTCTCCTCTGGGTGCAGAGGACTCAGCTGAGAAAGGTATGGCCAGGGCTCACAGCAGATCCTGGTTCTGCTCAGATCTAATCTACTCCAGGCTCAGGGTTTTGACTCCGAGCTGAGTGTCCTAGTCCCCTGGTCGAGTTAGTTACACCACTGTCTTCCTCTCCCCTAATCCAACATATGAGAGACTCAAACCAGCCAGAGAGGCACCCGGAGGCCTGGCCCTTTGAGGTTTGGGCTCTTCACAGGGAAGGTAGCAAAGCCTCCTTGTGTCTTTGCTGGACTCAGGGCCGGGGTGGGGGGGTTGGGTAGACACTGATGCCAGAAAAAACCAGCTCAAGCTCAGGAGGCCAGAGATGAGGGGTGGGAAGGTCTAATGAAGTGGATAGTTCTAGAAATAAGAAGGAATATTGGTCAGGTTAAGTCTGGATCCTGGCAACGTCACCATTCCTGTCTGCCTTGGGGGGCAGTTCCCCACAGGGCTGTCCACACATGCCCAGTGGGTGAGGAAGCAGGTGGAGGGTACGTATCTGGAGTAAAGAGTAGAGGTTTACCCAAGGTTTGCGCAGGGCATCAACTAATAACTGGCTTCAGACATTGGCAGCCCCAGAAGAGGCAGCCGATGAAGGAACCCCCGGCCCTCATGGGCTAGGCATTCCTCTACTGTTGTGGTGACCATTTCTCTCCCGCTCAGCTGTGCGCAGATCAGAGAAGTGGACACAGCAGGGCCAGGGGCCCGGGCCGGGGAGCGGGGCAGGCTAGTTGTGAGGTGAGCCACGCGGAGTCAAGGCCTCGACGGTGTGCGGGGTGGACGGGGCAGGCAGGGGCCAGCAGCAGGCTGTAGCCTTGGACTCGGGCCACCCCATGCTGTGCCAGGGGCCCAGTCAGGACCCCGCTCTGCTGATGTCCTTTTCTGCAGTCCTGACTTAGCTCCACTCTTCTTGGGACGGTGGGGATGAGAGAGGACGGGGAAACCAGAACCCTGAGATCGCGGGCCCTCTCCAGGGAACATTCCTCCTGGGGGATGGGGCAGGTGCTGAGAAGCAGAGGAGTGTGGCCGACTGGGAAATGGGAAAGGGGCCAGGGTGGTGACAAGAGGGACAGACCCAGCTGTCCCAGCTACCTGGCTCTAGTCATGCCCCATCCCCCCATGGCTCTTCCCTTCAGGCAAGGAGCTTTCCCCTGGGGACCATCTGGGGCAGCGGTCACTGGTCCGGCTCTTGGTGCAAAGGCAGGAAGGGCAGCTCAGGGAAGGGGGCTTTCAGCCGCAGCACGTGATGCTCCAGGTCAATGCAGCACTGTGGGGTTGGGGGACAGTGAGCTCACCTGGGCAGGTAACCCCTCTCCCAGCCACGCTGCTTTGTTCCCCTCCGCCTTCCCACAGCACCCTGCTCTCTTCTCCTCCCTGTTTCCATTCACCTGGACCGCTATCATGGAGGGACCCAGTTCTCCATATTTTTCACAAATAAGGAACCTCTAAGCATGGAGGGTGAAATTCCACATCTCCAAGTCCGTCTCATCGGAGCCTGGCCCATGCTTCCACACCCGTGCCCCCTACTTCTTTTTCCCAGCCCTCGGGGTCAGGCCCTGGGTGTGGGTGTCAGCACGAGCATCCTCCTTACCTTGAGAGAGAGCAGAGTCTGCAGGCCAAGGCAGAGTTCAGGACTCTCCACATCTGCGGGAACCGTTTGAGAATGCTGCTGTCCTGTCAGCACTCGCCCCTTCTCTGCTCCCCCCACCACCCCAGGCCAGAGAACCTTGGGGATAATCAGAGCATCTTTGGGGGTACCTTGTGTGTGCTGGCAGGAGCTGACAGGCTCTGCCTTCGCCCCGCCCAGGAGGGAGAGCTGCAAGAGCAGAGACGCGGGGATGCTGATGGAGAGGGGACTTACCTACCACCTGGGCCGAGCACGCCACGGTTGCCTGGCCCAGCTGTAGTTCCAGCTGCTCCACCTGGGCTGGGGGCCCAGGCGCCAGGTCCCCAGATGGGGCTTTTAGGACCCTCTTCCCTAACCTGTGGTTGGGAAGCAAGGCTTATGGCCACCACAGCCCCCCATGCCGCTAGTCCGCTAGTGTCCCTCCCCGCCACGCTTTGGGTTCTCAGCCAACCCTGGACCCACGTGGGATCTAAATCCTGTCTTCTCTGCCAGAGCCCCTGTCACCTCTTTTCAAAGAAGTAACAGCTTGGGACTTCCCTGGTGGTGCAGTGATTAAGAATCCACGTGCGAATGCAGGGGACATGGGTTCAAGCCCTGGTCTGGGAAGATCCCACATGCCGTGGAGCAACTAAGCCCGTGCGCCACAACTAATGAGCCTGTGCTCTAGAGCCCACGAGCCACAACTACTGAGCCCATGAGCCACAACTACTGAAGCCCACGTGCCTAGAGCCTGTGTTCTGCAACAAAAGAAGCCATCGCAATGAGAAGCCCGCACACGGCAACGAAGAGTAGCCCCTGCTCGCCGCAACTAGAGAAAGCCTGTGCGCAGCAACAAAGACCCAACACAGCCAAAAATAAATAAATTAAAATAAATAATTTTTTTAAAAAAAGTAACAGCTTTATTGAGATACAGTTCATATACTGTGAAAGACACCCTTTTTCTTCTTTTTTTGTCTGTGCCACGTGGCCTGTGGGATCTCAGTTCCTGGACCAGGGATTGAACCCAGGACACGGCAGTAAACGCTCTGAATCCTAACCACTAGACCAGCAGGGAACTCCCAAAGGTCATCCTTTTAAAGTAGACAACAGAGGGACTTCCCTGGTGGCACAGAGGTTAAGAATCCGCCTGCCAATGCAGGGGACATGGGTTTGAGCCCTGGACCGGGAAGATCCCACACGCCGCGGAGCAACTAAGCCCGTGCGCCACAACTACTGAGCCTGCGCTCTAGAGCCCACAAGCCACAGCTACTGAGCCCACGTGCCACAACTACTGAAGCCTGCACGCCTACAACCCGTGCTCTGCAACAAGAGAAGCCACCGCAATGAGAAGCCCATGCACCACAACAAAGAGTAGCCCCCGCAACTAGAAACAGCCCACACGCAGCAACAAAGACCCAACACAGCCAAAACTAAATAAATAAAAATAAAGTAGACAACAGAGTTCTGCAACCATCACTAATTTCAGAATATTTTCATCACCCCAAAAAGAAGCCCCCTCCCTACCCATTCTTTTGGGCCCCCGTCTTACCCCAGGCGGCTGAGGCATCCAGCGGAGATCTGATTGTAGTGGGTGCCCGTGTCCACGGCCACCTGAAGAACCTGGTCCTGGCACTGAGAAAAGGGGGAGGGGAGGGGACTCCGTGAGTCCCCAGGGGGTAGGGGGGAGAAAGAGTTGGGACTGGCTCTGTCACCTTTCCCAGCCCCTGATGGGTCCCTTTCAGAAATGAGTGAAGGGCTGGGAATTCCCTGGCGGTCCAGTGGTTAGGACTCCACGCTTTCACTGCCAAGGGCACGGGTTCAATCCCTGGTCGGGGAACTGACATCCCACAAGCCGCTGAGTGCGGCCTCCGGCCCACAAAAAGTGAGTTAAGGGTGTTTTTTATGGGACTCACACAGTTGAGCAGAAATGGGTCAGATACGGAATCAAGAAAGGAAGTAAAGCCGCAGGCGGTGAGAGTGTACTTTGGGGAGGATTCGCCCCGAAGTGTAGGTCTGTGCCTGTGCTTGTTGACAGTGGTGCCGAGGGCCTCCCGTTAGAGGAATCAGGGGTGGGCATGAGGAGGGATACCTGGTTAGAAAATTAGATGTGGGGAACAGATTCGCCACCGCAGGCGAAGGAAGACAAGGTCGCTTCCTTTTAGATAAAAACAGACGTTTGGGTTTGCACTTGGATACCGCAAAACACATTGTTTTCTCCTTCCACGCTGTTTGCTGAGGTCTGCTGTGCGTGGGCACGTGGAAGGGGCAGCAGGGGAGGCCGCTCCCCAGGATGCAGGGGAGCGGAGGGGCACCAGTGCACGGAGAGTGTTAAGGCTGTGGGTTGTGAGTCTAGAGCCTTAGATGTTGAGCCGGAGGAAAGGCTTTTCCATCGGGAAAGTCAGGGGAGCTTTCCCGGAGGCAGTGACAGCTGAGGCTGGAAGGATCGGAGAACGTGGACCTAGGATGACAGGCAGAGGAAGCATGGAGCAAGGATGGGCGGAAGGGAGGGCACGGCTCGGCGTTGGCTCTGGGGATGACAAGGCTGTGATCCGGAGCACGTGAGCTTTCGCGGGAGGGCTGCGTTACCCACACGTGCGCACCGTGTGTGTGTGGAGCACACTCACATTTAAAGATGATACTTTGCTCAAGGAAAGGGAGTCGTGCACACCTCGGAAAGACGGGGCGGTGAGGGGCGGGAAGCAAAGGACACGGAGGATCCCAGTCTATGGCCCAGCCTGGGGAGAGGGCTCCCCCATCCCTCCCTCACCACTGGGGCAGAAGGGAGAGTGGGTGAGGGGAGCAGGCCCGGGAGGGGGGTCTCACCTTGCAGTTGACCAGAAGAGCTGGCCTCTCTGTCTTGCTGGTCTTCCTCCTGGTCTCCTGGCCGTGGATCGCGGCCTGCACCCCCTGAGGCCGGCTCGGGTTCCCCTCCACCAGACGCCTCTGGATCACGTTGTGCGGTTGCTGCTTCCATCACAAAACGTGCAGATGCTCAGTTCCCTCACTTTACAAATCCCAGGCCGTTCTCCCCAGCCCCGCCCTGCTCCTGAGTCTCCTGGGAGTAAGAAGGGGGAGAGCTTCCCCAAGGATCCCAGCAGTCAGATCATTAGAGCAGAGCTAGTCCCAGTATCAAATCATGCCGTTTTCCAGGACCCCAATGTATTGCTCGGTAATGGAGAGATGGGGAGGGGGGAAGGGTCTCTCCTCGGTTAGACAGACGGGACATTTCAGGCACTCGCGTGATGCTGGGGGGGAATTCTGTCTCAAGTCTACAACACATATTCTTGGGGACACTTTTTCTTTTTTTCTTCCTCTGACCTCATCCTTCTGTGGGTCGCAGATCCCAGAGTTGATGGTGTGATGAAAAGAAGTCAAAGTAGCAAGAACAAACAAAAAAGAAAAAAAGTCCAAATCTAAACTAGGAAGCTGGGGGAGTTCCCTGGTGGTCCAGTGGCTAAGACTTGGTGCTCTCACTGCCGGGGCCCAGGTCGCATCCCTGGTCAGTGATCTAAGATCCTGCAAGCTGTGAGGCAGGGCCAAACAAACAGCCTAGGAAGCTGGGCGTCATCCTCACCGTCCTTCACCTGAAGCCACCCCGCCACGTCCAGTCACGTCTAGATTCTGCCAGCTTCGCCTCCTGTATTCACAGTCCACCTCTCTTTCTGTTACTGCTTCGTTCACACCTCAGCACGGCTCTCCTGAGTCCCTGGGACGCCTCCCTAAGTCCGTAAGGACGTGTCTCTCAAATCCACCTGCTCAAAGCCTGGGAGTCTCTGAAACTCTTGCTCCTCCAAGTGCCGTCCTCAGATCAGCAGCTTTACCACCACTAGAAAGCTCCTAGAAGTGCAGAATCGGGACCTACTGAACTGGAGCCTTGTTTTAACAAGATGCCCAGATGACCTGTGTGCACAGTAAAGTCTGAGAAGCACAAAGCGACATGTCAAACTAAGCCTGTCACTCCCCTGCCTAAAATCCATCAGAGCCCTCCCCTCCCCGCCGTGCTTACGTGGCGGTGACAGCCCAGGTGACCCGGCCACTGCCTCATCTCCCCCCCCCCCCCCCCCCCCCCGTGCCCCTCCGCCCCCCCGCCCCCCCCGGCCCCCCGGACCCGGCTGCCCGTCACCTCCATGCCTCTGCTCCTGCACGCCCCTCCTTCTGAAACTCCTCTTCTCACCCTTCTCTAGGCCAGACTGGGCCACTGGCTCAGGAACTATTTATTTGGACAGAGGCTTTTATTTTATGTCTGGGGTTCCAAGGGCATGCTGTAATTCACGCAGGGTCCACCTCCTCCAAGAAGCCCTGCCTGACTTCTTCCCACTCTTCCCTCCACACACCAGGCAGGGGCAGCGTCCTGTCCCATGGCCCCCTTTGTCACGCGTCTCAAAGCTGTTATCTGCCCTTGAGGTCAGGTCTGTATCTCATTCCTCTTTGCATCACAGGGCTCAGCTCAGCATACAGTAGGCATTCCCTAAATGCTCACCGAGGAATGGCTGTGTCCCTCCAGGCTCCACACATGCTTCTCCACCTGCCCTCTCTCCTTGGGAGCCTGGGATTGTTTTCCTGCCCTTCGCTTAATGAGGCCCTTGAGGCTGCTCCCGCCAACAGGCTGCCAGCAGGAGACCTAGCTCTGGGAAAAGGGCAGCAGCGAGCTCTGGGAGCGGCTGGGAAGGGCAGCTCTGTGGCTTCCAGCTCTCCTCCCACCTGTCCCACGAGGGATGCAGGCTCAGGCCCCCAAATGCTGTGTCTTCACTCCCAAAGCCATGCAAGGTAACTGCTCCGTGTTGGTCTGGGAGGTCCTGAGGGCAGAAGGCTGGACCTGCCACGCTGGGGCGGCAGTGTCAATAGAGCCTCTTCGCCAGGGCCGAACAGATGAGGGATGGGCCGCAGAGGGCAGAGGCTGTGATTTCCTAGCCACCGAGAGCCAAAGAGCCTGCTTCCCTGCTCCATCTGTGTCTCAGCTCTGCTGGCTCTTTGCAAGGAGGTTCTCTGAATTGAAGTCTCAGTCTGGTCGCCTTTCCCCTTGCGGCGCTGCTGGGCCGGGCTCCTGGAGGGTGAACATTTGGCTGGGAGGAATGTGGAAAGGTAGGGCTCTTTCAGGAAATGCAGTGAGGGGCTGCATCTGGCTCCAGGTTTCCGGGGAGAAGGGGCTGCCAGAGTAGCCTGGAAATGGCCCCATACACCTCAGGTTGCAGGAGTCCCTCCTCTCAGACTCCCTGCCCAAGAGATGAGAGAGGACAGAGTACCGCAGCCTTTCTACAGAAGCCCTCTCGTCCTCTGTGAGCCGGAGGCCAGAGGCATCGCATCTTCTCCGGACCTTGTGGGTCTTACTTTCTCTCTCAGGCTAAATGGAACAGTAAGAGTAGCTGGAGGGACAACAGCCTTTAGGCAGAGCTCCCAATTACCCAGGCACTCTGCTAAGTCCTTTACAGGTATTAGCTCATGTAACTCTTACATCCCTGTGAGGTACATCCTGTTAATTTGATCCTCATGTAACACATGAAGAAACTGAGGCTCAGAGACATAAAGAGACTTGGCTGAGTTGCTAAGTGCCAGAACCAGGATCTGAGCCCAAGCATCCCGGCTCCGAGGAAGGCCACTCTCTCAGCCCCTCCCTCTGTCAGAGGGGAGTGAGTACATGCAGCTGTCCCCTGACTCACCCACCCCTCGGTGTCGCTCCCTGACCCCGTTCCCTCGGGAGGCCACGCTGCTGCAGGGGGGTGGAAGGAAAGGAGGCTGGAAGGGCCACTGCACCTGCAGGGAGCAAGGGGGCCCTCAGGAGCCTGACGCCCAGGCAAAAGGCGTGGGAAGCCCTGGTGTTCTGGCGAGGATGGGGCGGGGGGGCACCGAAGGTCCAGTCCCAGTGTGAGGGGACCTGTAGCTTAGACAGAGGAGGGAATCGCGACCTTGAACCCGCCGGGCCCAGCGGTAAATGACTGCTCCAGGGGCTCCCGGGCCCCACAAACCTCTGCTCTAACAAGTGCTCCTCTCTGCCCCCCTAAGACAAGCCTGGGGCTCTTTGGGGAAGCTGAGCAATAGATAGGGTCCCCCAGAGCCACCAAGCCGTGGGAACACCCCAGTGAAGAGCCGGGAACGGTCAAGGTGAACCCACAGGTCAGGGCTGCCTCTCCCCTCCCCGTGGGCAGGGAGGGGCAGCTGGAGGCTGGGGTCTGCACCCTCCGGCAGAGGAGAGAAGGGACCCCGGCCCCCCGGGGGTGGGGAGGGGGGAGGGCAGCCTCACCCAGTCTTTGGAGGTGCCGAGCCTCTTGAGGCCGTCCAGGGGGAGCAGGTCGGCCGAGTCCTTGTGCAGGAACCGGGTGGCCTGTCTGTGCTGGCGCTGCCGGCTGCTGGCTGGGCCCCGCAGCTCTGCCTCCTGTCCCCTGTCCCCGGCATCTCCCTCCTCCCTCGGGGCGTCCGGCCGGACGCTCATGACCCCCGCAGGCAGGCCGGGGGCTCCTGAGCGGTCTTGCCCACCGTCCTCTCTGCTTCCTCCACCCGGCAGCTTTCTGCCTGCAGCTCTCCCAACCGGAGGGCCTCAGCGGAGGGAAGAAAAGAGGAAGTAAATAAATAACGTGCAGGAGCGGCGACGTCAGACACCAATTTCCAGAGCTTGCAGTAGAGGGAGCGGGGCTCCGGCTGGAAAAACCCAGCCCTGGAGGAGAGGGGGCGCTGGCAGGACTGCAGCTGGTAGGCTCTGCTGCCTCGCCAGCTCCTGGGTCCTGGCCGGAGTGGGCGGCCGCGGAGTGCTTGTGTGTGTGTGTGTGTGTGTGTGTGTGTGTGTGTGTGGCTGAGAGGGTGGGTGTATCTGTGCTGTAAACTGTCAAGGTGTCCGTGCCAGGTTGTTAGAGAGGGAGTGTGTGTCAGTGTGCGGAGGTGGCAGCCCGCGTGCTCGGGGCGTGTGTGGGATGCAGGGCGCGCATCTCTGTGCGCGTGTCTCCTGGGCTGCCCCGCCGTGCTCTCCACCTGGGGTTCTCCGCAGCCCCCGGGCTGGGACACAGGCCAACACTAGGTTCAGAACAGAGAGGGGCAGCATCACAGTGTCCCCGCTCCTCTCCTCCCTCTCAGCAGGAGCCTCCCCCCTTCCTGGGCCTCAACCTTTCAGCATCCTTTGCTTGTTTACGCTGGGTTCTGGGTTCCAGGGCTGGCTAAGAACAGCTGTGAATCTCCCTGCAATTAGGGCCCCAGCTTCCTCCTCTCCTTTATGTAAGGCTCATCGAGTCCTGGCTTCTTTTTAAAAAGTTATAATTCAAGCATGCAGAAAGTTATAACTTTTTTTTCTCTTTTCATTAGAAAAGAAAAAAAAAAAACTGCTACAAATATAACTGAAGCTCCTTGTGGACCCCTCCTCCCCAGCTAACATCCCCTCCTGAATCTGGTATTTCTCACATCTTTTTCTTTTTTTTTTTTTCTTTTTGGCCTCACCGCTTGGCTTGTGGGATTTCAGTTCCCCAGCCAGGGATGGACCCCGCGCCCTCAGCAGTGAGAGTTCAGAGTCCTAACCACTGGGCCGCCAGGGAATTCCCTCATACCTCTTTTTATGCACATACATATGTGTGTATTCTATGCAGTGTGTCGTTTCGTCTTGCATGCCCCATTGTAGAGATTCTCCTGCAATTTGCTCTTTTTTGCTCAATATTTTGTTAGTGAGATTCACCCGTGAGCTACGCATAGCTCGAGTTAGTTCACTTCGACGCAATATAGTATTTCTCCAGTGAATACAACACATTTAGGAAATTTGGGGTATTTTTCATGCTTTGTTCTTACAGACAATGCTGCTGTGAACATTTTGGCACCCATCTCCTGGGGCGCACGTGTAAGCATTCCTCTAGAGTGTATACCTAGGAGTGGGATTGCTGGGGCATCGGGTATGCACCTTCTTCCTTTCAACACAACTTGCCCTGCGAAGTGTTTGTACTAACGTGCGCTCCACCAGCAGCGTCCAGGGGTCCTCAGCCCCATGTCCTCGCCAACACTCGGTATCGGATTTTCATAGCCCTGGCATGTCTGCCATCAGATTTTCCACTCCAGCCTTTCGTCTTCACTGTCATCAGCGAGCACTGGCCACGGTTCTGCGGACATGTGTTGGACACTCACAGGGTGAGTCCTGACCTGGGCCCTGCTCCCCGGGGAGGCGCCTGCACATTCAGTCAGACAAGGCAGACATCCACTGGCCTCCTGCGGACCCCATGCCTTCTTGAGGCGTTTTACAACCACTGCAACTGTATTATGATCCCCATTTACAGAAGAGGAAACTAGCTAAGTGGTAGGGGTTCAGTTGTGTTCCCCCCAAATTCATATGTTAACGTCCCACCCACCAGGACCTCAGAATGTGACCTTATCTGGACATGGGGTCTTTACAGAGATAATCAAGTTAAGATGAGGTCATCAGGGTAGCCCTACTCCAGCACGACTGTGTCCCTATTAAAAGGGGAAATCTGGACCCAGAGAGAGATGCACGCAGGAAGAGTAGCATGTGAGCATGAAAGCTGAAGATGGGGCCGTGCCTCTCAAGACAAGGAAGGTCAGAGGTCACCAGCAAGCCACCAGCAGCCGGGAGAGAGGCCTGGAACAGATCCTGCCTCACGGCCCTCACCGTGATCTTGGGCTTCCAGCTTCTGGAGCTGTGAGACAACACATCTGTCTTGTTTAAGCAGCCAAGGTTGTGGTGCTTTCTTACAGCAGCCGCAGGAAGCGAATACCCCAAGACTTAGAAAGCTCGCCCCAGATTCAGGTATCGGGTGGCAGAGCTAGGAATCAAAGCCTCCGGTTCTGTCTCCCGAGTCCTGCTCGGTCTCCGTTATGCCGAAGCGAGAGCACGATGTAGAAGGTAAACGTGGACTGAAAACCAAACACTAGTGTGATTCCACTGACCGAGCTCAGCACCCCCTGGTCCTGACTTCCTTTAGAGTCAGCTTCAGTGGAATATTCCAGCTCCCTTCCACCCCTGTGCCTTGACACCTATTACCTGCATATTTGCCTGGGATAGAGGTCGAAGAGGACCCACTGCCATGTACTGGGTTCCCTGGTTGTTTCAGTAGGATTAACCACGTGCGTGGACCGATCAGCCAGTGCCCTGCGTACCAGGATGCCGGGCAGGCCCCATGCCAAAAGGCATTTCCTCCAACCTTATTCTCAGCCAGCCATTCCTTGGGTTTGAAAAGTCTTCAAGATCTTCAAGAGTCCTTTATTAATGCACTCTCTGGAGGAGTGCCGCTGTCGGTGGACAAGAATGAGGCAACTCTTGGGCACTTAGCCACGTTGCCTCGGGCCGGGCTGACCACCTGGATGGGTGTCCCAGCACGTGGACTGCACCCAAGGGGAGAGCAGGTGCTCCTGTGGTGTAGAAGGGAGACCTGGGTGTTTGCGGTTTGGATGGGGTGAGCTTGGGGACAGCATCACCTCTTTTCCAGTGGGTTTGAGAAGGCCTGGGAACCAGCCGTGCTCAGGAAATGCCATCCTCTGGAACGCAGCTGCAGAAGAGGCCCAGCTGGTCCCCGTGTCTGTGACTCAGACTAATATTGTCTCGCTTGCTGTCTCATCATCCCACACGCTCAGGGGTAAGGAGACTCTTGCTTTTTGTGTTCCTTGGCTGCTTCCTTTGTTAATCTGTGCTTTCCCCCAGGTTGCAGGGAGCTCTTGCGAGGGGAACGTTCTGGCAATACAGAGCTCTGACCTCTTCTTTGTCAGAATGCCGGGGAATGTTTTGTGGACCATTTATATCCTCGGCTGGACTGTCTGTGTCTTTGCCAATAACTCACCTCTCCTCCTTCCCCTCATCGTTTTCTAACCTAACCGTTGTGTAGTTCAAAGACCGATTCGTTCACAAGGAATAACTACACTGAGCTCTAATTGTGAAACATAGGGAGAAAACTCCCCAGGACAGTATTCAGGAAGATTAAACCATCTGCATTCTTAGGAAGAGAAGGACTGGAGGTTTTCCTTTCCGAGACGCTTGGGAAATATCTGTAACTTTTCTCATTTATTTCATCTTGCGGTTCACGTCCATGTTGAAGAGAATGGATCCAAAGTGAGAAATTTTGTGAGAAAAAAATGGAAGTGTGAGATACGGCTCCCTCACTGCTTTGGTCCTCCTCTGAATTATAACAAGTTTTCCTTTCACTCAGTCAAAAAATATTTTTGGAGCCCCTACTGTGCGTGTCAGGCACTGAGCGAGGCCCTGGGGGTACAGTGGGGAGTCGGACGGAGCCCCTGCCCCCATGGAGTTCACATTCAAAAGAGAAAGGCAGACTCTAGACCATTTATGATGTTGGGTAGTGCTGAGTGCCAGGGGACAGAGCAGGGGAGAGCAGTGTGTGTGGGGGGGGACAGACGACATCGTGCAGGATGAGAACAAGGTGAGGTGGAGGGCCATGCTGGTACCTGGAGGAGATGCCGCGGACGGGGGCAAGATGGGCTAGCCTGGGCCTGGGCTGACGTTCCCACACTGCACCCCAGACGGGGTAGATCTCCATCACCCCTGTCCGGCCCGGCTCCCCCCTACCCCATGACTAGTCATTCACACCAGCAAGACGTGGAGAGAGCAGAGCTACTCACCCACCCAGGACGGAACCCTTTTCCTTGCTTTCCCGGACAGCGTTAACTCACTGGGGTTAGTTAACAAGTCACCAAAGCCTGCATCTGACAGACCCGAGGGGTCAGGGTCTCCTCTACTGAAAGGGAACCCAGAGCCCTGCCTAGTGGGTTCTCGGAACTGTCAGAGGGCGATGGGTCTTTGTGTTTCCAGCAACGAGGAAGGCTGAGAGGGCTCCAGGAGATACCGCTTTCTTGGCCTTCACCCTCATAGGCCCTCAGGTCTTCTGGAGAACCTTCTGCCTTGAGGTAAAACCAGACTACATCTCATATCTGCCATGGGGTGTCAGTCATCAGTGATTCCTGATGTGCTGACTGATGCCATGGCTACTGGCCACACATGGTCATTGAGCAGTGGAAATGTGGCCGGTCTGAACTGAGATGTCCTATAGGTGTAAAATACGGACTGGATTTTGAAAACAATACCAAAAGCAACGTGAAATATCTCATTAATTATTTTTATGTTGATTACATTATTTATATTGATAATATTTCGGATCTGTTGGGTTCAGTAAAACGTGCTTTTTGTTTTGTTTGGTTCTTTGCTTGTTTTGTTTTTGTTTTTTGTTTTGGCCATGCCGTGTGGCAGTGACATGCAGGATCTTAGCTCCCTGGCCAGGGATCGAACCCGTGCCCCCCGCATTGGTGGCGCAGAGTCTTTCTTAACCACTGGACCACCAGGGAAGTCCCTTTTTCTTTTTTTTTGGGAAAATGTGTTATAAAAATTAACATCACCTGTTTAATTTTACTTTCTTAATATGGCAACTAAAAAATTTAAACTTGCATGCATGGCTCCATTATATTTCTCTTGGACAGCACTGGTCTAAATAGATTCACAGCTTGCTCCCTGGAACCTGGCATAAGCTATTCCAGCATCCCTCCACCTCATCAGGAAGTTCTTCTTTATGTCTAATCTAAACCCCTGTCGCTGTATTCAAAATCCCTGCCCTCTTGTCCAAACCTCAGTACAGATGGAGATGAACTGGTTCCCACTTTCCTTGTAATAACCTTCCATGCCTTTAAATATCTTTTACATTTTCTTTTTAAGAAGAAAGTGAAATTGTGCCATTTCTCGTCACTGATATTAGGGACGGAGAGGAGAGTTCATCTGATGTAGTGAAATCATCCAGCCCTACCACATAAGGAAATTCCCAGGATATTCCCCATAGAGTGGGTTATTCAGAGCTAGACAAGCAGCACCCTTGATCCCACGGAGGGTGAGGCCAGCCAGCTCTATTTCAGGCTTTCTCCTCTGGCCTTGTCAGATCTGCTTAAGACAGGAATGAAGCTGTTTTCCACAATTCTCCAGCAAGGGTCCTAGAAGGCCAGGGCCAGTTTTGAAATTTTTCACCCTACCTCCATCCCAAAGAGGTAGATCTTCCAAAGACTGCCAGGCTAGGACCACTATTTTTTTTTTTTTTTTTTGTGGTATGCGGGCCTCTCACTGTTGTGGCCTCTCCCGTTGCGGAGCACAGGCTCCGGACGCGCAGGCTCAGCGGCCATGGCTCACGGGCCCAGCCGCTCCGCGGCACGTGGGATCTTCCCGGACTGGGGCACGAACCCGTGTCCCCTGAATCGGCAGGCGGACTCTCAACCACTGCGCCACCAGGGAAGCCCTGCGCTAGGGCCACTTTTTACATTTGAGACTAGGATGCTTTGCTCCTATTTCATGGGTGGCAAAGCCAAGGCACAGGGCGTTCCCTGGTGGCTTAGTGGTTAGGATTCCGGGCTTTCACTGCTGTAACCCGGGTTCAATCCCTGGTCAGGGAAAGGAGATCCCTTAAGCCGCGTGGCGTGACCAAAAAACAGAACAAAACACAACGCCAAGACACAGAAAGGTGGAGGAGCACTTGTCGCTATTGATGAAAGCAGACGAGGCACAGGATGTTGAATTCGGACAAGCTTGGTCACGTTTCCCAGCTCACTTACTAGCTGGGTGACTTTGGGTGGAGTGCTTAATCGTTTGGAATCCACTTTCTCATCTGTAAAACTGAAATAACGTGTCATCTGCAGAATCTCTGTGAAGTATGAATGAGAAGCCCAACAGCAAACTGGTTAAGAGCTCTGGGGGCCTTAGTTGACTCGTCTCTAAAATGGAGAGCACGTGGGGCCTCATCGTGTTGGGAGGATTAGGCGGGCTGGTTCATGCAGAGTTTGCAACCCCTTGCCCAGCACACAGTGAGTCCCGGGTACCTGCCTGCTGTTATCTGGGAGCTGACATTCACGTACACAGGAGTGTTCTTGCGTGAGCGTGTGCACACGCGCGCACACACACATACACACACACAGGCTCTGCCCTAGCTGCCTCTCCCCTCTGCTCTCATAGTACAGCCGGGTCAGGCACCTCTCACCTTACTTCTCACACTATTTAAAATTGTTTACTTGTCCATCTTCCCACCAGGTCTTAGGCTTTATAAGGGCAGGGTCTTGTTTGTTTGCTTGTTTTTGCTCCCTTCTCTCTCTTCTTATACACAAAGTTCGTTGGCTGAATTGTCCAGCAGGACTCCAGGACACAAGAGGAAACGCGCTGTTACCACCAACGATTCAGGTGTTGAGACACTAGACCAGCTTGGTGAGCGCCCACCTGATCTTTCCAGGATCCGGCTGACAGCATAGGCGGTCACTCCAGATCCCTTTCTACTCCTCCCCTTTCCCTGGTACCCATGGGACTCATTTGCCAGCCCCCACCCCTGGGCCATGCACCCAAATCTTGATCCTCGGGAATCTGGCAAGCTGCCCACCTGCTTCCAGACATCCTGAACGTTGAGTGCCAGCGGGGATCCTGCTTCGCCCTCCCTCTGGCCTCAGCATTTCTCTCCCCCCGCCTTGTGTTTAGCGACTTTCTTTCCTGCTTCCATTTACCTCCGTTTCCTCCTGGCCTAAGCTCCGGGCCTGCCCTGGGCACCCCTGGCACCGCTCTCTAGTGATACTCCTGCTGAAGAAGCCACTGACTGTTGTCCGGGAAGCCTGTCATGCTGTCTCATGTCAGTGCTCAGTGACCGTCCAGTGGAAACCATGGTGGCCTAGGGGAAGCCACACATCCAAACCCTGCCTTGGAATTTGAACAGTGCCAGGATGCAGCAGCTGTGTCTTCCAGGTGGGCCTTTGGGAGGTTCTGCCCTGGGACCCACAGACAGTGTGTTGGCTTGAGACTAACATGAGATGGGCAACTCCGTGAAGAGCCACAGGAACCACTAAATATAACGATAAACCGGAAACAGCAATTATGTATACTGTGTAATGAAAAGAGTAAGTGACGTGGCTCAGGGGACAGCACGACCAGCAGAAGCTCAGCGGTGGAAGAGACGCAACAAGGCAAAGGGCTTGAGCAGGTGGGTCAGCGCGGGGTGGAAACAAAAGGCCAGTGCGTCCCGGGGAGGCCAGAGGTGGGTCTGGGCGGCCTGGGCAGGGAATCGTGCTCTGACTTGTCGTCGCGGAGCAGCGGCGGGACTCCCTTCCTTCCTTCCTTCCTTCCTTCCTTCCTTCCTTCCTTCCTTCCTTCCTTCCTTCCTTCCTATTTATTTGGCTGTGCCGGGTCTTTAGTTGCGGCATGCGGGCCTTTAGTTGCAGCACGCGGGATCTAGTTCTCCCACCAGGGATCAGACCCGGCTCCCCTGCATTGGGAGCACAGAGTCTTAACTGCTGGACCACCAGGGAAGTCCCCAGTGGCAGGGCTTTCTTAGGCAGGGCAATTAGATGGGACAGCCTTGCAGTCGGGCAGGTGAGATGGAGACTGGCTGGCTCTGCATCTCCCCCAGGGGCCCCCAGCCCCCCAGCTTCCAGCCTTATGGGCCCCAGCCCTTCCTGAGGCCCTAGTGGCTCAGCAACCTGACCTGGTCTCAGTTGCCCACTCAGCTGGAGCCCGGCTGAGGGAGAGGCAGGCTGCGGAGGGGAGGGGAGGACCCAGAAGTGGCTCTGAAACCTCTGTGCTGGGATCAATTCGCGTCCTGAAGCTGGCGTCGTTCAGCAGAGCACGGGGTGCCCTGGGGAGGGGTGCGAGGTATGGGGCAAGCGAGCTCCAGCCCTGCTTCCCTCTCAGATCTGCTTGAGAAAGCTGCAGTGAGAGAGTAGGTCCTGAAGGTGGGCCCAGGCTGCAGGGGTCCCCCAGACCCCCGCAGAGGCTTCCGAGGACTCCATACTGAGCAGATGGGGGAGCGTGGGGGAGGGGTGATACCCATGGCTGCGGGCAGGCTGGGCTGAGGGTTGCCTTGAAGAGTCCCCAGGCCCAGGAGGATCTACGGAGGCCGTTGTCCCCAGAGCTCCATGGCCTGGTGGAGTTCAGGAATTCCAGGAATCCTGCTTCTGCATCTCTGGCTGGTGATGGACAAGGGAGCCCCTGGCAGTGCTGCCAGCAGGAAGGAGGCCGCCACCCAGAGAGCAGAGCCGAGGGTGGAGGCGGGGGTGGAAGTCCCTCGTGAGGCCGGCAGCCTGGGGGAGGGGGTCTGGGTCTGCAAGGCGGGCGTCTGTGGAAGCACAGCTCACCCCTCTACCCTCCCTCCCAGCTCCGGGCTGGAGAGTGGGAGGCTTTCTCCTCCGTCTCACTCCCCAGAACTTCCTATTAACCCTCTAAGTGTGCCCTGGGCTTCTCTTGCTGGAGGTGACGAAACCCAGGCATGATGGGCAAGTAGGCTGAGAAGCAGGATGACAGCACAGGCCCTGGAGCCCTGGCTGTACCAGGAGGGCAAGGACAACCCGGCTTTGTGGCCCGGAGCAAATCGCCTCGGCCTTGGGCCTCGGTTTACCATGCAAACGCTTGTTTCCCAGAGGCCTTCCCCGCTCTGACATGCCAGGATCAGAGTCAAGGGACCTCCTCCTTTCCACCGTCACTCCTGATCCAGAGCGGGGAGAACGCCCGTTCCCCGAGCCCCACCCTCCCCTAGAGAGCTCCGGAAACTATCCTTCCTCCCTTGGCTTTGGGCCACCCCACCACAGGGAGAGGCGGCCAGGAGAAGGACCATGGTGGAATTGTAGATTTGGAACTAGAAGGAATTTTGGAAATTCTCTATACATACCCTATATATATATATATATATATTTTTTTTTTTTTTTTTTGCGGTACGCAGGCCTCTCACTGCTGTGGCCTCTCCCGTTGCGGAGCACAGCCTCCGGATGCGCAGGCTCAGCGGCCATGGCTCACGGGCCCAGCCGCTCCGCGGCATGTGGGATCTTCCCAGACAGGGACACGAACACTTGTCCCCTGCATTGGCAGGCGGACTCTCAACCACTGCGCCACCAGGGAAGTCCTATATAATTATTTTTAATCGAGATGAAATTCACATAACATTTACCATCTTTTTACCTTTTAAAAATATTTATTCATTTATGTTTGGCTACATTGGGTCTTAGTTGTGGCAACGTGGGGTCCTTTGTTGCAGTGCACAGGCTTCTCTCTAGTTGTGGCCCATGGGCTTAGTTGCCCTGTGGCACGAGGGATCTTAGTTGCCTGACCAGGGATCGAACCCGCGTCCTCTGCATTGGAAGCGTGGCGTCTTAACCGCTGGACCGCCAGGGAAGTCCAGCATTTACCATGTTAAATTGTACAATCCAGTGGCATCTTGTTCACTCATGATGTTGTGCAAGCAGCACTTCTATCTAGTTCCAAAATATTTTCATCCGCCCCAAGAGAAAACCCTGTACCCATGAAGCACTCAGCCCCCATCCCCCTCCCCAGCACCTGGCCACCACCGATTCACCTTCTGTCTCTAGGGATTCGCCTCCTCTGGACTCTTCCTGGAAATGCAATCGTACGATATGCACCCTTTTGTGTCTGGAGTCGTCCACTCATGTTTTCGAGGTTCTTCCACATTTTTGCGTGTGTCAGTGCTTCACTCCTCCATAAGGCTGAATCGTGTCCCACCCACTTATTACTTTTATTCTACAGGTAATGATTGACAGCTGCAGGTACGGAGGGCCAACGCTGTGCCAGGCACTTTGCAGGTGCGTCACTTGTTTCTTTTATTTATTCCATTTATTTTCGCCCTAGTGGCTCCCGCTGTGCCGAGGAGGAAGCTGAGAGCTTGAGGGGAAAAAGGACCCTCCCAAAGGGCACACAGCTGGTTAGTGGTTATGCCAGGGCTAGAACCCCAGTGGTGTTTGATTCCCAGGTGCTGACAGCTTGAGGAAAGTGGGCAAAGAGGGCAGTGAGCAGAAGCCAAGAGCAGCCCTGATGGGGAAGGTCACCGACATGGCGTGGGCCAGGGGCCAGGGGAGGTGAGGTGGGCCCCACCTGCAGCTTCTCCCTCTCTGGCCACTCCCCGCTGCCCCTCCCCCTCCACTCTCTGCCCCAGCCGGCCAGCACCCTGCGGACCCACGCGCTTTACCTGCCTCCACTTGAGGCCACGTGTCTCTGCCGCTACCCCCCAGTGCAAAAGCTGTGGCACGAGGGGTCAGCAGCACGGGCCCAGGCCCAAGATGATGCTCTGGGGTGACTGCTCCCACCGTTACCTTGAGTCCCCACTTTGCTCCTGTCCCTCCACCGAAGCCTGGTCAGCCTTCCTCAGACCTGACTCTCCATCCTCCAGCACAGCTTTGGCCTGACCTCTGCTCCCCCAAACCCTGTGTGGGACCTGCAGCCCAGCAGACTTGCTTCTGAGATTTGTCCAGGCGTCAAGTTGTCCAGGGAGAAGCTTTCTGTATCCTGACCAATCCCAGTCTTATTCCAAATGGGTTACGAGAGCCACATGTCTTACAGCGCCTCTCCCCCTCCACACCTACTCACGTACGCGCACAAACACACACACACACCCGTTCTCCCTCCCCACTCCTCGGCAGTCTGCAGGAACTGGATCCCCCCCCACACACACACACCCCTTCTCCCTCCCCACTCCTCGGCAGTCTGCAGGAACTGGATCCCCCTCTGCTCTCCCCACCACACCCGTGCTCCTACCTGCCGCGAGGGGTCCTCTGAGGGTGACAGAACAAATTAGAATTTCAGTAGAATCTTCAGGAGCCTAGTGTACAGATGAAGTTGGGAGGATGGTGCAGGGGCTCGGTTCTGCAGAAGCCTGCACCCTTCAGCCACCCAAGCCTTCTTGCTGAAGGTACATTGGTTGAGAACACGAGGGCTTGGGGGTCTGTATGCCCACTGCAGTCTCCACCCATCTGGAGACTCTTCTAGATGTGTCCAGGTCTTCTCCTTCTCGCTAAGGTTTTGCCAGGATGGGCCCTGGAGAGATAATGGAGGGGCAAGACCACCCGGTCCACTAGCAGGGTCTGGTGACTCCTCACCAGGTCCTGACTCAGAGGCGCCCTGGGCAGCAAGGCCAACTTGACCGTCTTCTCCCGGTAATGAGGCAGCGGGTTTGGGCAGGGCCAGCTCCTGGCGAAATCACTGGGAAGTGGGTTGGGCATGAGCTGGAGGCCTCCAGGCTCACACCTTCCACCAGCTGAGATGTGCCGGTACCTGTGGGGGGGAAGGGGTGTGGAGAGGACAGAGGTCAAAGGAGAGACCTGGGCATGATGGAGGGGGCAGAAGAGGAGGAGATGCTGCCTTCCGCCAGCTGTCAGCCATCAGACTGTGGAGGCCCCTTCTAGCTCTCTCCCCACCTGGATACTGACCTGTGCCCAATGGCCTGCACCCTGTGTGTGCGTTTTGGCGTTAGGCTGGTGAAATCATGTTATCTGGTGGGTCAATCTTCCATCCTTCGGACACGTAGCCTGTAAGGGGGTCGTCCAGATTCCAGTTGTCCTCCAAGCTCCACCTTCTCCACAAACGCAGTCCAGGAGCCCTTCCCACTCTGCCCTGCTGCCCTGCGACACCGGTCTCATGGCTCACTCTTCTGCAGACCTGCGGTATTTGGTTCAATACAACAGGGTTGAATATTGGCAGATCGTTCAAAGTGCTTTGCCCTGGCCCAGCAGGTATCCTCCCGTTTGCTGATCAGAGGTTCGCAGGCTTGACTGCCTGTTAGAATCACCCTGGGGAGCTTTTTAGAAACACCGGTGCCTGGACTCTCCCCCAGGCCAAGCAAGTTAGACTTTCCCGGGTGGGGCTCAAACCTCAACATTTTTCTGAAGTGGGCCCGGTGATTCTAACATACTGTCAGACTGGAGGGAGGCAGGGTTTGCAGGTAAATGTCCTGCTTCCCCATGATCATGGGCGTCTGGAAGCCTTGTGTGGTCCTCTTGCTCAGAATGTGCTGTTTCATCTCCTAGACGGGGTTCATCTGAAGCCCCTCCAGAGCTGCTCCGCAGGGGCCACAAGACTGGGCGGGCCTCCCCTCTCACTCTCTCTTGCTGCCACCTGGTGGACTTCACATGCCCTTCAAGGTGCAGCTCCAATGCCACCTCCTCCTTTATTCCTGCTCCAGGGGCGGGCTACAGCAGCAAGCCAGCGAAACCAGGACCCTTCTCGCACAGAGATGATTTATTGAGCCCCTTCTCCCTGCCAGACGCCATACCCCGAAAGGTACCAGGTACATCTCCAATACACACCTGGGGAAAGTGAAGCTCAAGGAATTTAAGAATGTTGAAGTTGTGTCGCAAGTTTGCGATGGTAGATTCCAGCCTAGTTCTGTTCGACTCCCAGGGCCTGGCCGCTTCTGCCAGCATACACACATATTCCCTGTGCACAGAGCACTGGGCCGAGCTCTCTGTGGATGCTACTGTATTTCTCTCCTGCTACTTTTATAGAGCATTATGTTGGCTGTGAACTTGTCTGATTCCTGGGTCCGACAGGAGGGGAGGTGGAGCGTGGTGGTTAAGAATGAAGCCCTGGATCCCTGGTGGCACAGTGGTTGGGAGTCCGCCTGCCGATGCAGGGGACACGGGTTCGTGCCCCGGTCCAGGAAGATCCCACATGCCGCAGAGCGGCTGAGCCAGTGAGCCATGGCCGCTGAGCCTGCGTGTCCGGAGCCTGTGCTCCGCAACGGGAGAGGTCACAGCAGTGAGAGGCCCGCGTATGGCAAAAAAAAAAAAAAGAATAAAAGAATGAAGCCCTGGAGCTGTGCTCTCTGGGTTCAAATCCCAGCTCTGCTCTTACTGGCTGTGCAAACTTGGGCAAGATACTTGACCTCTCTGTGTTTCAGAAGCCCCATCTGTAAAAGGGGGTTGATAATAGTAGTTTCTATTCAGGGAGTAGTGGGAGGATTAAGTAATATAGTAAAGTGATTAGAACCATTTGGCTGTGAGGTGTTTGAGCAGCGATCTGAGTCTTCCCCACGTCCGTGTGTCCAGAGTTAGTACGGAGTAGCCGTCAGTGGTCAGCGTTGCGAGACAGCAGAGAGAAGTCGAGGTCCTAGTAATCGTCTCTCAAAATCACCAACTGTTGGCTTTTTCTTTTAAAGATTAAACACCTCCGCAGCCTCCCACTCCAGTCCCTTGGGGCTTCTGTCAATGGGATTGGAGTTTGAGACACGCTTTGCATTCCTCTCCCTGTTTCCTGCCACCCACGCCCAGAGCCTAGAGGGCAGCAGAGTGGAGATGCCCCGTGCATGCCCACGATGGGCAGGGAGGGAGAGTCCCTCCACACTCCTGCCTCTGCTCACACCAGCCACCCCTCCTCTCGACGCTTCCGAAGCCTTCCTCCCCTCCCAGCCTCTACCCCTCTAGCCCGCCTCACGAAGCCTTCCTGGGGCGGTGCTCCAGACGACACCCCCCCCTTCTGAATTTCTGTAATAACGTCTGTGTTTGCTATGGTGACTTAATGTGCCCGTTCACCCACTTTATCTTCACGCAGTGAGGTGGGCATGGCACTCACCACTCCCCCCTTCCCCACCCATCTTTCAGCAACCGTGGAACTGAGTCTGGAAGAACTAAGCCATTTGCCAAAGTGACACAGTCTGGAGTTTAATCCAAGCTTCTGCCTCGGGCTCTCGGCTCTTTCTATTAATAATTGACGTCCTCACAACACCCGTTGTCTGTCTCACGCTTTGGGTACTTGGCACACGTGGGCTGGTGTTGAGAGCTGTCTTTCCATGCACGTGTGTTGGTAGCTGCCTTTCAGAAGCTCCTTGAGGGCAGGGACTGAATGACATTTCTCTGTATCCCTGGGGCCTGGCAGGCATCACGTATCAATACACAGCTGTGTCTCCCCTACATTTTCGTTAAGTAATCAAGCCCCGCCCCTGGCTGTCATTCCCTGGCCTCTACCCGGTCCCTCCAGCTACGTTTGGACAGAGTTGAGTTTTCAGGTGACCAGAGGAGGGACGGTAAGACGTCAGAAACAGGAATCGGAAAGAGGGAGGGGTCTCCTGGGCACGGGTGGGTTGGGTGGGCTCCCCGAGGAGGGAGCTCCTCTTACTTCTTGAAGTTCTTCAGGGGCAGGACATTGCCGTTGGCATCGAGCAGGGGTGCCCTGACCTCACTCCTCAGCGTGAGCTTCCCCACCTCTCTCAGCTCCTTCACTGTCCTGAGAATCACCTGCTGCCTCCTCTGTGCGTCCAGAAAGAGAGGAGCACAGGAGATGAAGGTCAGAAAGCTGTTTTGACCCATCCAGGACGGAGGGGGCACCAGGGGCTCTGCCGGGGGTGGCGGTGGGCCCTGGAATCCGTCAACCAGTGCCAGACGTTGCTGTCATAGGGCCTGTCAGGCCTGGCGGGGAAGGTGGCCGGCAGACGTCCCACATGCAGCCACGTGTGGAAGCCCCAGGTGTGCTGGGCCGCATCCTTCTGGGGCAGGCCAGTCGATGATGCACCTTGGCCTTCATTTCCACGCAGGGTGGCAGCTTCAGGGCCAGCTGGTGGTAGGCTTGCCAGGTGAGGCCGGGCAGCTCTGAGGACTCCCTGGGGAGGACGAACTCGTGTTGAGCCCACGTGTGGGGCGTCGGGAGGGTCTCATGGGCGTGGACCATCTAGGGAGAGACAAGGGAGCCTGGGAGCCCTCTGCCTCTCCTCGGCTGGAGCGGACAAGCTGCCCGCGGTCTCCAGACCCAGATTCTCATCGGGACCGGGTGGCCAGGGGCAGGGGGGTTGGGACAGGACGGGACGTTTTCTCGGTTCTTGCCTAGAGCGCGTGGCCGCTTGGTATGATTTGCACGCATCCTCATAGACTGTCCTCTGTCCATCTATCAGGTTGTGTTTTCCCAGGCTCTTTCCTCAGCTGACATTTTCTCTTTCCTCACTCTGCCTTCACCATCCCCCCATCCTGGGGCCCCCGTTCCTGCCTGGGGTCTGGCGCTCCTCTCCAGGCACACTGGACCTGAGGTAGTGTGAGGGAAAACGCCCCTTCCAAGCAGAGTGCAGAAGGGAAACCATTCTCCAGGGAATGGGGCTGGAGCTTTTCTGCCCCGCCCCTCCGGTCCCCCGCTGCTCTGTCATTGGTGCATCCCCCTCGTGTAGGAAGCATCCAGATGTGGGTTCCTTTCCTTTCTGGCGCCCCTCCACCCCCCGTGAAATAAACAGTGGCAGATAAATACTTGACACTTTGCGAAATACTTATCCTCCTCTCATTTAACCCTCACACCTTGCGAGTAAGCGTTCTTGTTGCATCTCAAAGATGCAAGAAGCAAGGCACGTGAGGGTGAATAACTTGCCCACGGCACAGAGTGAGGGCAGCAGAGCCGGCACAGAGTCTGTGCCACTCAGGACACCAGGCTCCTCCAGATGCCTCTGCGTCCCACTAGGACTTTTCTTTTCCTTTCTTGTTTTTTTTTTTTTTTTTTTTGTGGTACGCGGGCCTCCCACTGTTGTGGCCTCTCCCGTTGCGGAGCACAGGCTCCGGACGCGCAGGCTCGGCGGCCATGGCTCACGGGCCCAGCCGCTCCGCGGCACGTGGGATCTTCCCAGACCGGGGCACGAACCCGTGTCCCCTGCATCGGCAGGCGGACTCCCAACCACTGCGCCACCAGGGAAGCCGCTAGGACTTTTCTGATCCCCAAAACTCACCTGTTGCTTGGGCCCAGTCCCCTTAGTCATGTCTACACGCACACCGCAGGGGTGGGTCTGGATGTCATAACCAGACATTTCCTCTCCTCTGCCCTGAGCTCCGTGTTCACAGGGTCATAGGACAAGGGTTCACGGGCCCGGAGGGGAGAAAGCATGGCCCACCCCAGGGCGGGCAGGGGGCAGGCGGGGGGTGGGGCTGGGGACAGCCCCTCACCCAGTGTGGTACAGAAAGGCAGCTGCAGAGATGCGGCCCCGCCCACCGCCTTCAGGAAAGGTTCTCTGATGCGGGCGGGTCACGCTGCCCCCTGGGCGATCTCTGCCGGTTGCTGGCCATTTTCCTGGTCTTCCCTGCAGGAGGGGCAGCTTTGTAGGGAAGACCTTCTTGCCAGCATTGTTTGCTGCTGGGGTTGCTATGGTGATGCTTCCTGGGTGGAGACGCAGGGAGGAGGCCCTTACCTCTCCCTGCGAGGGCTCACCAGTCCCTCGGGCCCTGGCTGCCTTTCAGGTGAGGCAGGTGGGGAATAGGGCTCGTAACAGGAGCTGCTTCGAGGTGGGAGGCAGAAAAGCAGGGCGGGCTGGCTCCCAGGCCTCCGGTTGGGGGTGGAGGTGGTCATGAGGCGCCTGTAACTGGGCCCATCCTTCCCTAATGTTGGTGGGCGCGTGCCCCTGGGTAGGCCTTTCTTCAGGGAGCCCTGGAAGGCCTAAGTGACCCAGCAGGTTCAGAGGTCCCCCAAAGAGGCTGGCTGTGCAGGCCTGGCACTGGGAAAACTGCCAATTGACTGCTGAGCTGGGAGGACGTGCCAGGGCGGAGGAGGGAGGTGACCGGGCCACAGCCCTTTGCACTCTCCTTCCAGGGCTCCGTGTTGGCTTCAAGCCTTGCATCTTCCCTGTCACAACCATTTTCATCGTCACCCACTTTCCTTCCCAAGCCCCCTCACACCGTAGGGACCAGACACCAGCGCGCCACAGACCAGCATGTGCCCCTGGGCTTTATTGAGTAGGTAGTTACAGTAGTGTTTTGGAGCTGGGGGCTGTGCACGCGGTCAGCTGGGGCCCAGGGCGGCTCTCTGCAAAGCTGGGTTCTCTGCAAAGCTGCGGCACCAGCGCAGACAGGCAGGCAGACAGGCCAGCCGGCCTCCGCCTCCTAACTCGTCTCTCTGGCATGATCAGGGACCTTATCAGAGAAACGTCTCTCGGGCACATCTGGGCACCCACTCTGCTCCAGGTGCCTCCCTGCCCCCGCCCCACTCTTGACCCATAATAAGAGACCCTTTCACCAGGATTTCTTTTTGCAGGAAAGCTGACTTGGAAACGTGGGCAGGTGGGAGGCAGTGGCAGTAGGAGGGATCCTGGCAGGCTGACTCACGTATCGGGGCACCTACAGTGAGGAACCCTTGAGGGAGGGACCTGGGAGGAACTGTGCACTGCAGCCCTTCCTACTGCAGGAACCAAAAGCAAGTAACAGAAGCGAACTGAACCTCCTGGTTATCGTGACCCCCTTCTGGCAGTCTCTAGATAATGATCTAAGGAGATAGGTTTACGTTTATAATTAGAGGATAATTAGGAACATATACA